GGAAGGGGGAGGGAGGGAGGGAAGATGGATGGGGGCGGGGAGAAGGAAGGCAGGATAGTGATGCGGGTGGTGGTGGGGATGGGGGAGGGAAGGGAGGGGGTGAAGAGAGGGAGCAGTGAGCGAGAGGGGGGGATCTGTGGCAGTGACGGTGTGCGACTGGGCGGTGGGAGGGAGGGGGGAGGGGGGGGGGGAAGGGCATGGGGGGGAAGGACAAAGGGAGGGAGCGACGGCGTACAGCAATCTCACAGAAGGGGTTGAGCGAGTGCTTGACATTAACCGTCTCCACACCGGACTTGTCCGGCTTGACGCGGACCTTGACGGCGTAGTCAATGACGCGCTTGACGCCCACAAGGACGCGGCCGAATGCTCCGTTTGCCGCCATGAGGTGGAGAGAGGGAGAGGGGATGGGTCAAATTAGCATTGCGCAGGCGCAGAGATGCTGGTCGGGTTTGGGTTGGGGATTGGGTGGCAATGGTTGTACCTGGTGCGGTTGGGATCTGGTTGCGCAGACGCAGAGGTGCCGGTCGGGTTTGGGTTGGGGATCCGGTTGCAATGGTTGTACCTGGTGCGGTTGGGATCTGGTTGCGCAGACGCAGAGATGCTGGTCGGGTTTGGGTTGGGGATCCGGTTGCAATGGTTGTACCTGGTGCGGTTGGGATCTGGTTGCGCAGACGCAGAGATGCTGGTCGGGTTTGGGTTGGGGATCCGGTTGCAATGGTTGTACCTGGTGCGGTTGGGATCTGGTTGCGCAGACGCAGAGATGCTGGTCGGGTTTGGGTTGGGGATTGGGTTGAGGATTGGGGGACAATGGCTGCGTCAGCGCAGAGTTGGTTGGTTGGTTTGGGTCGGGTCGTGGAACTGCGACACGGAGAGACGGCGACACGGCGACCGAGTCGGAGAGCTCAGGGCTCGGGGCTCGGGCTCGGACACGGACCAAGGTGCCCTCTCGGCAAGAACAACACTTGACGTCGTTCTTCACTCACACCCACTCCCTCACCGTTACACCTACACAAGATGTCGTCCTCGGAGATTCTGCGGCCGACGACCGAGGCTGCGGCCAAGGCTGCGCTTGCCCAGGCCGGCCCTGTGGTGGTCCACTTTGGGGCGGCGTGGTGCGGCCCGTCGAGCCAGATGGAGGCTGTGGTCCACACTGTCCCTGCAGAGAACGTGACCCATGTGCGGGTCGAGGCCGAGGACGTGCCGGGCCTCTCGCTTGCGCACAACGTGGTCTCGGTCCCCACCTTTGTCGTCTTTCTTGCCGGCAAGGAGGTCGCCCGGCTGGAGGGCGCAAACGCCCCGGCCCTCGTCCGCATCATCAACGAGGCCAACGCCATGAGTGCTACCAGCGGTGCGGGCAGCGCTGCGCCTGCGGGCGGCGCGGGCAGTGCTGCGCCTGCGGGCGGCGCGGCGAGCTCCGAGGAGGCGGCCAAGGCTGCGGCCAAGGAAAAGAAGAAGCTCGAGCGGCGGATGCAGGGAATCATCGACTCGGCGCCGGTGGTGCTGTTCATGAAGGGTGAGCCGAGTGCGCCGCAGTGCGGGTTCTCTCGCAAGGCGATTGGTCTGCTGCAGAGCGTGGACGTGGGCGGTGCGCCGGTCGACTTTGCCTCGTTTGACATCCTCTCAGACCCGGCGGTCCGGCAGGGCCTCAAGACCTACTCCAACTGGCCGACCTTCCCGCAGCTGTACATCTCGGGCAAGCTTGTGGGCGGGCTCGACATCATGGCCGAGCTCGCCGAAGATGACGAGCTTGCGCCGATGATTGCTGCGGCGTACGCCAAGCGCGACGCGCTCAACGCCCGGCTCGCCGAGCTCATCGCCTCGCATCCGGTCATGGTCTTCATCAAGGGCACGCCCGACGAGCCGCGCTGCGGCTTCTCGCGCAAGATGGTGACGCTGCTCAATTCGACAGGCATCACCTACGGCTCGTTCGACATCCTCTCCGACGACGACGTCCGCCAAGGCCTCAAGACCTACTCCAACTGGCCGACCTTCCCACAGCTCTACGCCCACGGCAAGCTCATCGGCGGCAATGACATTGCCCACGAGCTTGCCGAGGATGGCGAGCTGGAGGCTGCACTTGCTCCTCCCTCGTAAAGCCGACCAGTAGCCGATCAGTAGCCGATCAGCAGCCGATCAGCAGCCGATCAGTAGCCGATCAGTAGCCGACCCCCCCCCCCCCTCCCCCCTTTCCTCCGTTCATTCCCTCCTGTCCGCAACGCCCACCACTTTACCCCATTCACGGAAACACGCCTCCCCCCCCTCCCCCTACCCCCCCCCCCCCTCCCTACCCCCCCTACAAGCATGAGCTCCATCAGCCTCACCCCCGAGGAGCTTGCAGTGTATCCTGCGGTGTTCCAAGAACTGTCTGGTGGAAGCGACGAGGGAACCATCTCTGGCACGGCTGTCCTCCAGTTCTCCCGTGGCACGCACCTTCCTCGGAAGACACTCCGTGCTGTATGGTCTCTTGCGGATACCACTGCCTCTGGTGATCTTTCTCGGGAAGAGTTCTATCTTTTTCTTCGTCTCATTGCTATGGCTCAGGCTGGTCTTCCACTTGATGCTGCTGCTGCTGCTCGTTCCGATCATCCTCATCGTCCGCTTCCTCGTCTCCTTGATCCGCCCTACTCGCAAGCGGACCAGGCTGCCTGGGAAGCTACCTATGCTCGCTTGGCTGCCGATGCTCCCCAAGGTCCCTCGGCTGCGGCTGTTCTTGCCGCTTGCGAGGCTGCTGCACCTGCCCCACTCTCCGACAAGGACCGATCCCGTCTGCTCAAGCTCGTCAAGGCCAGCCCCGATGAGCCCATCGACAGCGCCTCGGCCGTCGTCATGCAGTACCTCGCCCACCAGCTCCTCCACACTGGATTTGCACTCCCCAAAAAGTTGCCGGACACCCTGTGGCCGCGCATGCGCTCGGCCATGTCCGACTCGCAGCCGCTCGATCCGTCGGCGGGGGACACGACTTCGGCGCCGGCACCGGCACCGACGCCGACGTCGACGGCGATGCCTGCGGCCAAGCCGCTGCCCAAGCCACTGCCGCAGCTGAATCCTGCACCTGCAGCAACTACACCCGAGCCCGCACCTGCGCCTGCACCCACTCCTGCGCCTGTGCCCGCGACCGCCACCGCCCCACAGATTGTCGACTTTGACGCCTCGCAGTTTGAGGTCGTACCCAAGAACGCCATGTTTGTCATCAACGAAATCGTCGACACCGAGGTCGGCTACGTCCAGGATCTGCACTACATTGTCAACGAATACATTTTGCCGCTGCGGGCGGCCAAGTTTGTGGAGAACTCCACGGTCAATGAGATCTTTATGACCATCGAGCCGCTGCTCGAGACCAACACCATGCTCATGAACGACTTGCTCGCGGCGCGCAAGGATGCGCCGCAGGACCAACTTGTCGCCGCCATTGCAGGCGCTCTCATTAACGTTTCGCAGTACCTCAAGATGTACTCGGACTACTGTAACAACCAGGTCAACGCGCTCAACTTGCTGGACAAAGCCAAGAAAAAGTCGGCCATGGCCGCGTTCTGCGACACCCGCGCTGCCGCCGCTGGCGGCCTTGGCGCCGGCGACTTTCTCATCAAGCCCATCCAGCGCATCTGTAAGTACCCGCTCCTGCTCCGGGCGCTCCTCAAGGAGCTCGGCCCGTTGGCGCCTGGCCGTGCCGAAGTCGAGCGTGCCTTTGAGCTCATTTGCGCCATCGCCGACGACATCAATGAGAAGAAGCGTGACAACGAAGCCAAGCGCGGTGTGGTTCTTGCCGCCAACTCGATGATCTCCGCGCCCAAGGGCCTCGTCAACCCGACCCGGCGCCTGGTCGACCAGGGCCCGTTTGTCCTCAACGGCGAGAAGGAGCGCTACTACTTCCTCTTCAACGATCTGCTTGTCCTCACCAAGCCCAACAAGGAACGCTACAAGTACAAGCTCTCGCTCATCCTCCGCGACCTCGTCATCAACGACGACGCCACCGAGCTGCCAACCTTCCAGCTTGCCGACGTTCGCCACGGCTCCAACTACGTCATCACACTCCCGACCGCCGGCGCCAAAAAGGCCTTTGTCTCTGCCCTTCGCACTGCGATGGAGACCTTCAAGGCCCACATCGAAGACCTCAACAACCGCCGCCGGTCAACCTCGGTCTCGCTCCCGCCGCCGGCCGTCGATGATCCGCAGTACCGCACCGCCGCCGCCGCCGCCGCCCTGGCCTCGGGCGGCTCTTCGACCGGAGGCAGTCCAAACCCGGCCGCCCGCCTCGGCGACGGCGACCTTGCTCTCGAGTTTGACGACACCGCCACCGTCTCGGCCTCGATCCGGGCTGCCACCATGTCGGCCTCCAGCCGCGCTCCAAGCGCCGCCGCTGCCACTGTCGGCGCCGCCGCCGCCGCCGCGCCTGCGGTCGGCCGCATCAACGCCGCCCGCCCTGTCGCAGACTCGTACTGCGTAATCGTCCTCGGCGAGGAGCGCGCCGGTAAGACGGCACTTCTCAAGCGCGCCGCCGGCTCGCCGTTTGAGTCGCGCTACACGACGACGCCCGATCCGCGCGAACAGTTCAACGTTGTCGCCTCGCTCGACGGTGTACAGAAGCACATGCGCCTTCACGAGGCCAACACCAACACGCTCCCCGCACTCACTGCCGCATCACCGGCCATCCACGGCATTTTCCTCGTCTTCTCCATCGTCTCGTCCTCGTCGTTTGCCGTCGTCTCTGACATGATGGACCACCTCCGCCGCATGGGCGCACCCACCCGCGGCCTGCCCATCATTCTCGTCGGAACCCATGCCGACAAGGCTGCCCGCCGTGTTGTCCGCTCAGAAGACGCCGTCGCTCTCGGCGACAGGCTCGGCGCCGTCTTCCTCGAAGCCTCCTCGCTCACGGCCTCCAACGTCAACTTTGTCTTTGAGCTCATGGCGCGCAAAATCGCCGCCAAGGCTGGCCCGGCTCTCGCCAACGCCGCGTCCTCGGCGTCGCCGCTTGCCTCGTCGTCACCATCGATATCGATCGCAGCACCCGGTGCCGGCGCCTCCATTGCCGCACACCGCGCCGCTGGCGGCTCGAGTGCACCGCGGCGTCACTCGTCGTACGGCGGCCACTCGATGGCGAGTGCTGCGACTGCCGCCGGTCGCACCCCGGCCCACCATCCGATGAACCGAACGTCGTCCAACCCGCTGCTGGGGCACAATCCGCTGCTCGGCCCGACGCCGGCGCAGCACTCTGCACACACCAGCCCGCCGACTGCCTCGCCGCCGGCCTTTGCGCCTGCGCCTGCGTCCAATCCTGCGCATGCTCCACCGTCGTACTCGCCGGTGGCAGACCCGGCCCACCGCCCGCGGTCGATGTCGTCGGTCGGCGCGAGCTACACCGCGCCCGTCATTAACGACTTTAATGTCAACCCCAGGCTTCTCTCGCAGCAGCAGCTCATCGACCTCGTCCTTCGTCTCCAGGCCAACATCACGGCGTGCCCGGCGAGCCACACACCGGCCAAGTAACCAGGCATGCACTTTGAGTTATCGGTTTACGACACGACGCACCCAGCACAGCAGCCCTTGTTCGCAACCACAACACCGCCGCTCTCGACCACATACGGCCGGACGGCTGGCAGCATCTGTGCAAAGGTGGTGCCGTCGGCCGGCTGGCCGATGGCCATAAACTTCCACTTGCCAGCGCCGGCGGCCATGGGTGCCGCGTCGAGCTCGTCAAACTCGCGGTAGAGGTGTCCGAGAACAACTGCGTTCGTCGCGCCCGGCCCGGAGCGGAGCAAGTCGAGCTTGGCCACTTCGCGCTCGTCAAAGCCATCCGAAACGTCGGCCATGCGGATGTAGGTGTGCTCGACGCGCGGCCAGTCGTTGACCTCAAAGCCGGCAGCGACAAAGAAGATGTGGCGGACCGAGAGCGGGACGTGATCGAGGTTGATGACAAACTGCTCGTCGTCGACAACTTCGGCGGCGATGCGGCCGTCGACAAACGAGACACAGCCTTGTGCCGCCGAGTTGGTGTTGCCCGACCACACGACCTCGGAGAGGGCGGCTTTGTCGTCGAGGAGCAGGGCGCCGGCGGTGAGGCGGAGCGAGGCCGAGAGCGTGCCTTGCGCCCCGTCCCATCCGAGACCAAAGACAACCTTGGATGCGCCCTCAAAGGTGAGGATGTCGCCCTGGGTGAGGGCGAGCGAGCGGGCAAGGTCCGACGCCAGCCGTGGCTGGAGGACCGAGACGAGCTCGACCGGCGAGGCAACGACGCCAAGAGCCTCACCCACGGCCTTAAACTTCCACCGCCCGCCCGACTCCTCGTCGCGGAAGAGCAGCGCGGCGAGCTCAGCACAGTGCTCGCCGCGGAGGGCCGAATCGAAGAGTTCGTAGGCGGCAATGTCGCGGTCGGGCTCCGAGGCGATGGTGGCGTCGGCGAGCTTGACGGTGAGCTTGTTGAGGGCGGAAAAGTCGGCGCCAAAGGCAGTGAGCACAAACATGACCGTCATGACCGAGTCCGGGACGGCGTCGAGGCGGACGGCGATGCGGTGCGGCGCGTTGAGGCGCGGCTCAAAGAGGACCGAGCCGGAGCAACCAGCGGTGGTATTGGCATCGATGCGGCCAACCGGCCCGCCGCGGGTGTCAAAGACATACGCCGAAAACTCGAGCGGCGGGAGGGTCGAGCCGGGCGCGAGTTCCCACTCGGCGACCACCGTGGCCGACTGCGAGCCGTCAAAGAGGACCATGTCGCCGGCGTTGAGGGCGAGCACGTGCTGGGTCGCCGGTCGGACTTCGTGGCGTGACTGTTCCAGAAAGGCGAGCAGGTCGGCGTAGCCCGAGCCGAGGGCGTGGTTGCCGACCGCGCGGAACTTCCACTTGCCCGGCGACTCCGAGTCGCGGTAGAGCGAGGACATGACGACGGCGTTGTGGTCGCCACGGAGGTCGCCGATGTCAAACATGGCGATCTCGCGCTTGGGAGATGACGACGCGTTGATGAGGCGGATGTAGGCGCCAGAGACCGAGTCAAACGACGAGCGGAAGGCCGAGACCACAACGACAAGCTGCGCGATCTGCGGCGGGACCAAGTCGAGCTCGACAAAGAGCGCTTCGGGGTCGTGCGAGCCCGACGAGGGCCCGGCCTCGGCGTCAGCGCCGCGACCTTGCTCGCCCGAGTGCATGACCACACCCGAGTCGAGGAGCGACGGCGCGTGGACCGAGGCTGGCCACACTGCAGCCTCGCCTGACGCGTGCAACGCGTAGAGCGGCGAGTCTTCGGTCGGCCACCGCGGCGACCTCGCCGAGACCACGCCGACCAGCTGCTCGTGCTCGTCGAGGAGGAGGATGGCGGTCGAGACTTCAGGTGCAGCCAGCGGACTGTCGTCAACGTCCCACCCGGTGCCAACGATGACCCGGTCGGGGCCTTCAAAGGCGAGCACGTCGCCGCGGTTGAGGACAACGCGCTTTGGCGCGACCTTGCCGCGCTGGCTCTGAGCCCACGCGTCGACTACGTCTTGCGGCTCAACAGCACGGACGTGTGAGCAGAGCGTCTTGGCCTTCCACTTGCCCGGCGGGAGGAGCGCCGACGGCGCAGCCCGCGCCTGCTGCGAGAGCACAAGCTGCGACGCCGGGTCGCGGAATAGCAGGAGAGTGATGAGCGACGGCGCATTAACCTTGGATGACGAGGCTTCAAACGTGACCGGGTACGAGCAGATCTGCCGCTCAAACGCACCCGAGACGTCGGTGAGCGTCACGTTGAGCGAGCGCAGACCGCCAAGCCCGCTCTCTGTTGGCGACGAGGCCACAAAGACAAGGACGTTGGCTGTGAGGTCGACGTCGGCGAGCTCGATCTCGATGGTCTCTTCTCCCGAGCCCTGCGACGATGGACCCGAGAGCGACGAGGATGACTCAACGCCAGGCACGCCAGAGCGTGGGACCGAGTGGACGATGGCACCCGAGGCCGACGATCCATTGTCGGCGTCGATGACCTCGAGGATAGCGGAGGAGTCCGACACAGCGTAGCACGCAAGGGCGACAGGATCGACATCGGGTGCGAGGCCGCCCGAGCCGGAGCGGCGGGCCTCGCGCGACCAGGAGAAGCAGACTGCAATCCGCGAGGGGCCTTCGAACGAGAGAATGTCGCCCTTGCGGAGGGCGAGCGAGGTGGCGTCGACCGGAACCGGCGGCGCGGACGGAGACACGTCGTCGACCTGGATGTTGCTCGCGACGTCGTGCAGAGCAGCACCGGCGGCGCGGGCGGCTTGCGAGGCGGCGGCAAAGCCCATGACGTTAGCGGCGGCACCGGCAATGCGCGACATGAGCGGGAGCGGCGAGCCGCGGACCGGGTCACCGACAGCTTGGAACTTCCACTTGCCGACCTTGACCACGTCGCGATAGAGGAGGGCCAGGACAATGCCAGTGTGCTTGCCGCGCTTGTACGAAGCGTACTGGCCAATGTCGCGACGGAGGCCTGGATCGACGGCGGAGACGTCGGCGAGGACGGCCATTGTGGCCGAGACCGAGGCAAACGGGGTGGCGGTCCGGGACGTGTCGCCCTCGAGTGCAAAGACGAGGACGCCGACGTCGAGCGGGATGTGCGGGAGGGCGAGCTCAAAGGTGACCGAGCCGGTGGCGCCGCGCGGCGTGCGCGAGGCCGGGCCCGGGCCCGAGGCGTAGGCGACGGCGCCGTCGGGCGAGGCGCGGACGAGTGCCGAGACGCCCTGCGGCGCATGCTTGTTCGAGCCGACCCACGAGAGGAGCGAGCCACGTTGGTCGTAGAGGAGGCAGAGGCCACGCATGCCGGTCGGCGGACCGTCGAACCACGCCATGGTCACCGAGGCCGTCGATGGACCGTGAAAGGCGAGGACGTCCGACGGGCCGAGGTCGAGGACCTGCGCCACGTCTGCCGAGAGGTCGGCGGCGAGACGTGGCATGATGGCGTCGTATGAGAGGACTGTCGAGTTGTAGGCGAGGCCGAGCGCCTTGAGTGTCCACTTGCCGGTGGCCTCGTCGCGCGAGAGGACCGAGACGATGGCGGCAGACGTGTCTGGCGGGTACTTGGACTCAAAGACGGCCAGCGGCTGGGCGGCAGCACCGGTGATGTTGGTAAAGGTGGCGGTGGCGGCACCGACGCGGGCGCCACGGCCGCGGGTGTTGACCACCAGAGCGAGGACAATAAAGGCAGTCTCGTCGGCGACAAGCGGAAGCTCGACGACAAACTCGGGCTTGCCCGACGCCGACGTGGTGCGAGCCGCGAGAGTGACGGCGCCCGAGTGCGAGGCCGGCGATGAGGCGTCGACGGCCTCAAGCAGCTCGACGTCTTGCGAGAGGAGGAGCGCAACCGGGGTGGCATCGGCCGAGGCTGGCGACCAGCCGACAGCAAGCGAGACCCGGCGCGGGCCCTCAAAGTTGATCATGTCACCGGCGTCGAGCTCGAGCGCCACCGGAAGCGAGTGCTTGAGGTGCATCTTCATCTGCGAGAGGTAGCCGGCGAGCGGAGGACCCTGGAGCGGCGCCGAGACTGCGCGCATGGACCACTTGGCAAGGCCGGCGTCGTGAAAGACGACGGCGAGGACCATTCCCGACGCAGTGATGCCGGCGCCGAGGCAGGGCACAAACTCGGCGACCGGCCGTGGCGGGCCGCCCGACGTCGAGCCCTGGCGAAGCATGACCCGTGACGGAAGCGTTGACGCGGTGAGCGCGGCAAGCTCGGACGCGCCGTGGGCAATGACCGCGAGGGTGACGGCAGTCGGCTCGAGCTTGCTCAGCGCGACGAGCGCCGACGTGGTGCCACCGTCCGAGACAAGGGCATGACCCGAGCCGGCAATCATGCCCCACTCGTGCGGGACCTCGCCATTTTCGGCGTTGGAGAGAACGCCGACCACGGTGCCGGTGCTGTCAAAGGCGACGATAGAGAGCGAGAGTGGCGGAGGAACGATGGCGGCACCCGGCGTGTGCCACGAGACGTCGAGCTGGAGCTCGCGCGGTCCGCCGAAGAACACTACATCGCCCGGCGAGAGGAAGAGGGCCGAGTCGGGCACGGTGTCGAGGGCCGACGAGGCGACGACTGCTGCCAGCGCTGCGTCGTCGCGGGCCTGTGACGGCTGGACAAGGGCATGGAAGCGGGTGACCCACGAGACCGGCGACGGCGGGAGGCGGGCACGGCCGGGCTCAGCGGGCGCGAGCGCGTTGGACGCAATGTCAACCGCGAGCATGCGCGCGGCGAGGAGGGCGGTGGTGCCCGACGGAGGGCGGCCATGGGCCGAGAGATCGAGCGAGCAGAGGAGAATCGGCGGCGCCGAGGCGATGCTCGTGTTGTAGACGTTGACAACGGCACTTGACATGGCGGCTAACCCGTCATCGGTGTACGCCGTGAGCGCAAAGTACAGCTGGAGGTGCGGCTTGTTGAGTGGGAGCTGGCTGACCTTAAAGGCCTCGGTGGCGCCTGCCGGCGCCTCGGTCTGCTTCAGCAGCACCACAGACGGTAGGGCAGCATTCCGCGCCTGTGCTGAGTGCACCGTTCCCACAAGCTCTCCACTCGATGCATCGAGTGCCAGGGCCACGGCCGAGACCTCCACCTCTTGCGAGTATGTGAACGCGACGATAGCCTGAGGAGAGAGAGAAAGAGAGAGAGAGAGAGAGAGGGCGCGTGTGTAAGTGTGTGTGTGTGGGGTGTGTGTGTGTGTGGGGGGGTGAGTGTGGTGAAAATATTTTTGTGCAATGAGCACCCCCCTCTTCGTCGTCAACGGGGAGAGGAGGAGGCGGGAGGCGTACCGAGGTAATGGGCTGGCTGCCGTTGCCGAGGGTGACCACGACGCCCTTGTTGAGCTGGACAGCAGAAGGGGGGCGTCCACGCTCGACATATGTGTGTATGTATGTGTATGGTTTGTGTGCGTTAGTGTGTGTGTGTGTGCGCGCGTGTGTGTGTGTGTGTGTGTGTGTGTGCGTGTGTGTGTGAGGGTGGCGGTGGCTGGGCGTGGTGGTGTGGTGGTGGCTGGGTGTGGTGGTTGGGTGGTGGCTGTTGGCGTTTTGCGGTTGGCTGCTGTTGTGGGTGGCGCGGCGTTCCGGCGCGACGTTTGCGTCCGGCGCGCCTTTTGCGACACGCGATGGATAACCGGCTTTAGATGGGCAGAAGTAGGAGGATTGATGATTGTATGTGCATGTATGAATGTATGTATGTATGTATGTATGTGTGTTTGTGAGAAGATTACAACCCCTGCTGGCTAGCGATTGGGCTCGAACTGGACTGCAGACGATGTGGCGGCCATGGTGGCGCTGGCGCTGGTGCTGGCGCTGGTGCTGGTACTGGCGCTGGCGCTGGTACTGGCGCTGGCGCTGGTACTGGCGCTGGTGCTGGTACTGGCGCTGGCGCTGGTACTGGCGCTGGTGCTGGTACTGGCGCTGGCCTCGGCGAGGGCGTGACGGCTGGCGGGAGGGAGGGTGTAGAGCAAGGTCGATGGGGGAGAGACCAGGGCACCGATGGCGTGGAGAACAAGGACAGTGGCAGAGATGCGCTGAGTCGACTCGGTGCCGAGAGTGGCGATGATGCCGGCAAGCGAAATGGGCTCGGGGCTGGCGGCGACTGCGGCGAGGATAGGGGCCACGAGGTTGGCCAACGATCGGGCCTGACGCGGCTTTGCTGCGTCGGTCCCCGCCAAGCGGGCGAGCGAGGCAAAGCCTGCCGCCGGATCCCAGCGCGGCGAAACGAACGACGCGTCGGTGACGCGGTAGCAGAGCGGGTAGCGGCGCGAGACGCGGGCGACCATGCCCAGGCCGCGGAGGATGTTGAGGATTTCAGACGTGCGGCGCGGTGGGACGTCAGCATTCGTCGCAAGCTCGAAGATGGTAAAGGAGTGGTCGGAGAGGAGGGCATAGTCTGCGAGGGAGTTGGCTACATCCCGCGCGTACTTGAAAATCGAATTTTCCTTCCGCGGCTGCATACGGCGGCGGGTCCGCCGCGACCGGCGGCAACGGCGCGCCGACGGACGCTGTGCGGGCGAGTGGGAGCTCGGCTCACGGACCTCAAACGTGGCGCCGCCATAGCCTCCTTGTGTTACGGTTGACCGGGGCTGGGGTGTTGGCCCGGCAATGGGCAGGAAAGGGGGAAGATCGACCGCCAGCGGAATGGGCGGCGAGATTCGGCCGTTGTCCGGAGGCGTGGAGTCGACGGAAAGGGTAAAGTCAAAGAGCGAGGCAAGGAGCGGGTCAACCGAATAGGCAAGCAAGTTCTCTGGGGTCTCGAGCTCGCTGTGGAGTGGCATGGGCACAGATGTTGGTGGTACAGGGGGATGCGGTGGGGAGAGGTCCGATGAAGTTACGAGCTCGGGTGCTGCGCCAGAAAAGGCCTTTTGCCGAAAAACGAGTGTTTCGCCATCACGCCTCATCCTTCATCATAGTTCTTTGCCGCCTACGGCGGCCGAGGGCTAGCGACTCCTGGGTCGACCAGCTTGTCTACTAGCCGTATGTGATTGCTGGTGTGTGCGACATGCGGATGCATGTAACGGTTCGCGAGCTGGTGGCTTGACATGGGAGGCGGGGGCGGGGGTAGGGCGGTGGGGGGGGAGCCGAGCGAAACAAATATTTCCTTCATCAGTCCATCAACCCTACATCAAGCACATGGGGACATGGCAAGCGCAACGGGAGTATGCGGTGCTAGCCAAGCACCGCAATGCACACGAGGAATACGAGTATGAAGTGCTGGGCGGATAGCATGCTTTCGGGGCAGGTGGGGAGGGATGAGACAAGGTTGGGGGGGGGGGGGTTGACGTGGGGGGGGGGTTCCACGGGTCCACGTTGTGTGGTTTCCAGGAACGGTTGTACGGCAGCCGGCCCTGAGGGGTTTGCAGCCCCGGTCGAGGCAAGGACGCTGTTGCGAAGCGGTCGGCTTATGTTACATGGGTGACGAGGTTGGTGGGGTGCCAACGCGGGGTGGGGAGAGGTTTTACTCAAAAGCAAAGTCCGGCTCGCCCGGGAGGGCCTTGGAGTCGGCGGGCGCCTCCTCGATAGAGAGATCGTCGAGGGAGAAGGAGGCCTTGAGGAAATCCTTGACGGTGGTGAGAATGCCAAACTCGTCAAAGGACGGGGTGGATGCGAGGGCATCGGGGCCTGTGGCGTTGGCCTCAGAGACACACTTCATGGCAAACGGCATGGCCTTCTTCTTGAGCTTCTTGGGGATGGCGGCGAGCTTGCCAACAGTCTTGGCGATGGTGCGGTTGTCGGGAAGTGCGAAGGCAGACCCTTTGCGTCCGGCGAAGCCTCGGGCGAGTACATGGGGGCGAGCGCTTCGAGGATGGCAACCTGCCAGGGCGGGTACTCGCGGGCGACAAAGATGGTGCCCTTGGAGACAGTGACGCCCTCCTTGCGAGCGAGGCGGTCGAGGTGGCGGTGGCACTTGTGGAGGAAGGTGTTGATAAAGTTGTCCGCGGCGAGGATAGCCTGGTCCGGGGCGCTCGCGACGGGCCACGAGGCGCGCATGATGGACTCTGAGTTGCCGAGGAGGCCCCAGACGTGCTCTGCGGTGTGCGGGGCAAAGGGTGCGATGAGGAGGGCCTGGGCCTCGATGTAGCGCATGATGAGGGACTTGGAGGGGAGGGCGGCGGAGCCGAGGCGGTCGCAGTAGGCGGTGCGAGTCGACTGGAACTCGTGCCAGCCGTAGAGGAGGGCCTCGCGGTAGAGGGCGTCGGCAAAGGCGGCGTCTGTGGCGTGGATGGTGCGGTCGATGTGTGCGGCAAAGATGCTGTCAAAGAGGGCAATGTCGGGCGTGGCCGAGGCGTCGGCGTCGGCATCACGGGTGGCAAAGTCACCGGAGAGGGTCTCCTCGACGAGGGCGACAAAGGCGGTGAGGCGGAGGATGGCCTTGTTGGCGGCAGCCTCCTCAAAGTTTGCGTCGTCGAGACCGTCGCCGGCGTCGGCAAGGACGATGCGCGTGGCGTCAGCCGAGTAGGTCTCGATGGCGTCGCGGAGCGAGAGGAAGTTGCCGGTGTTCTTGGACATCTTGTCACCGTTGAGGTTGAGGTGGCCGTTGACACGAATGGCACGTGGCCACTTGTCCTGAGGGAAGATGGAGGCGTGGTTGTACATGAAAAAGGTGAGGTGGTTGGGGACGAGGTCCTTGCCCGAGACGCGAAGGTCAACCGGGTACCAGTACTCAAACTCTGCGCGCATGGCGTCGAGAGCGGCCACGTCGACGCCGTCTGCGAGATCAGACGTCTCGTTTGAGCCGAGGAAGACGTAGTTGAAGAGGGCGTCGTTGACAGCCTCGGGCGGGATGCCAGACGAGCCCGGGCTCGACCCACCAATGTCGCCCTGCAGCATGTGGGCGATGGTGTAGTAGGCCATGTAGATGGTCGAGTCGGAGAGCGACTCGATGAGCCACTCGTCGTCCCAGGGGATGCGCGTGCCGAGGCCGTAAGAGCGCGAGCAGGCCCACTCGCGGAGCCAGTCGAGGGTGGCCTCAAACTTGGCACGGGTATCGGCGTGGTAGGTGTTGAGGAAGGAGAGGTTCTTGGCGACGAGGGCCTTCCACTCGGGGTCGCCGTAGTTGAGGTACCACTGGTCGGCGAGGCAGACGACGCACTCGTCGCCCGAGCGCGAGACGACGACGCCCTCGGGCTCCCAGTACTTGAAGGCCTTGCCGTCGGCGATGAGGGCGTCGCGGATGGCATCCTTGGCGTCCTCGACCTTGGACCCGGCGTGGTCGCCGACGAGGAAGACGCCCTCATAAAAGCCCTTCTTGTAAACAATCTCCTTAGCCTCGTCAAGCTTCTTGCGGTCGTGCTGCGACTGGATCTTGAGCTGCTTGCACATAATGGGCGCGGCGAGGTTGCCGATGGACGGGATGTCGATGATGGGGACGGGCTCAAAGGGGAGGACCATCTCGTCGGTGATGCCAAACTTGGCGCGGAGCGCGTCCTTGCGCTTGAGGTCCTCGAGGGCCTGGAAGTCGTCGGGAGCGTCCGAGGGGACCGAGGTGACGATGCCAGTGCCCTTGCCCGGCTTGATGGTCATCATGGGGAGGGCGTAGACACGCTCGTACGAGGCGAGCGGAGCCTCCAGCGGGAGGCCGAGGAGGTCGGCGCCGGTGAGCGAGGCAAGCTTGTTCACCTCGCCAAAGACCGGCGATGAGTTCTGGAACGACATGTTGCGGGCACAGCGGTCGGTGCAGATGACGACCTCCGAGGCGTCGGCGTCGAGGGCAAAGGCTCCGTACTCGAGGTCCGGCCCGACCCAGCAGTTGGTCTGCCCGTACATGGTCTCCGGGCGGAGGGTGCCGGCGACAAGGAAGATGGCCTTGTCGGCGAGCGCGTCGAGGACACCCGACGCCGGCAGCTCGAGGAGCTTGAGCTTGATGAGGGTGTACTCCTGCGGCTTGACGCCCTCGCCGGACGAACGATCGTGGTCCATGCACGGCTGGCCGTCCTTAGGCGAGAAGACGCACGGGCGCTTGCCAAACTCGATGCGGTTCTGCGCCTTGAGAAGGCGGAACTGCCACCGGATAAAGGCGTCGTAGTACGGGTTGACGTCGGTGGTGTAGAACGAGCGGCGCCAGTCGATCTTGCCGCCAAACGCCTGCATGTCGAGCTGGCACCGCGGCGGGAAAAAGTCGATCCAGTGCTGGGCGTCAGCAAAGGCCGGAATGTCCTCGTCGGGAATGCCGAGCGCCTGCATGATGTTCCACTGGTACTTCTTGCCGGTTCCCTTGGTCTTCTCCTTCGACCGCTGCTTGCCCTTGGGCGCCTTGCCCGGCATCGACGACGACGCCACCGCGTCGGCGCCGTCAGCCTCGTCGGCGTTGTCGGCCTCGGGCTCGTCGGCCGGGAACACGGGCGGGTTGCCAAAGGTGGCGATCTCGTAGGCGAGCTTGTCGGCACATGCCTTGATCGGCATCCCGGTGCAGTGGAAGGCAAACGGCCAGAGGCAGTCCTTGCCCTTGAGCCGCTCGTAGCCGACCGCAAACTCGGTCTTGGAGAGCGAGAAGGCATGCCCCAGATGGAGCCGGCCGTTCATGTACGGGTAGGGAAAGGTGACCAGGTACTTGTTCTTCTCGCCGGCAGGAATGTCCGTCTTGGCATCCTGCTCAAAAATCTGTTCCGCAGACCAACGCGCCTGTGCCGCAGCCTGGATGTTGAGCAGATCGTCACGCTTCTTCGATGGCTTCTGCGTCTGCTGCAGGAAAAGGTCGTGCGGTTGGGTGAGTGGTGGTGGGATGGAGGAAAATTGGGAGGAAGGGCAGGGTGTGTGTGTGTGTGGTGGGGGGTGGGGGGGGGAGGAGGTGGGCGGAGGGGC